CCCCTGTGGCACACCACTAGGCAAATCCTCTAGTCCAGGAAACAACCTTCAACTATCACCCTCTGCTTCCTACCATCGAGCCAGTTTTGAATCCAGATAGCTAGCCCTCCTTGGATCATGTGTGACCTAACCATCATGACTAGCCTCCTGTGCAGGACCTTGTCAAAGGCTTTACTGAAATCCATATAGACAACATCCACTGCCCTACCCTCATCTAACCTCTTGGTTATCTTTTCAAAAACCTCTAAAATATTTTTCAGACATGACTTCCTGCGCACTCATCCATGCTGATTATGTCTTATCAGACGTTGACTATCCAAGAGTTGGTTGATCCTGTTCCTCAGTATCCTCTCCAATAACTTGCCTAACGCTGATGTCCGGCTCACTGACCTGTAGTTCCCTGGCTTGTCTTTGCTGCCTTCCTTGAACATTGGAACAAAATTGTCCACCCTATAGTCTTCCAGAACTTCACCAGTGGCTAAGATGAAGCAAAAATCTCTGCCAGGGCCTCTGCAATTTCTTCCCTAGCCTTCCACAGTGGCCCAGGATGGACTTGATCAGGCTCAGGGCATTTATCCACCTTAATGCGGTCTAAAGGCCACAAACACCTTGTTTCAGGTAATATGTATGTGGTCCAAAACATCCCCACTTGTTTCCCTTATTTCCTTAGCATCCATGATTCTCTCCTCAGTAAACCCGGAGGAGAAATTTTCATTAAAAATCTCTCCCATCTCTTGTGGCTCCACACAGACAGCCTTGATGGTCTTTAAGGGGATCTATTCTCTCCCAAGCCACCCTTTTACTCTTAGCATAGCTATAGAACCTCTCGGGATTATCTTTAGCCTTATCTGCCAGATCCATCTCATACCCTGTTTTTGCTTTTCTGATTTCTCTGTTAAGCATGCTCCTACATTATTTTTATCGTCATGTAGGGATTCACTTAAGCCCAATAGCTTAAATCCAATGTATGCTGCCTTCTTTTTCCTGATCAGAGCCTCAGTATCCCTTGTAAGCCAGGGATCCCTAAACCTGCCAGCTTTTCCCTTCACCCTAACAGGACATACAGTCCATAAATTCTTGATTATAGTCTTGATATAGATGATGTAGTCTTACCGTGCAGTTCAGCAGACGTGGCAAATAAAACATGTCAATGCATGTAAATCCAAATAGTGTGAAGTAGGACATTTTCAAATGTATAAAATCCCATTAGTTGTGTCCTCCTGTGGATTCAAAAATGCTAAAGTACTTAAGATATTACATATTCCATTTACATATTTTAAATGACCTGATATTGTAAAGTAGCAATTTAGTGCTTAAAGATTTACTCCTCTCATATCTTGAATAATTTTGAATTGAGAATAGAATATATATGAGGTGAATATTGCTTTGATTAGACATATTTTGTTTCAAACAAATTATTTGGCATTGCCAAACTGCTGGTATCGTTGACAGCTTATTAGACTTCTATAGATTTGTTCTATCATTCCCATACCTTACTTGCTTATGTGATGCACATGCTGTGTACTTTTGTAAAGATTATTTCTGGATAATTAAAAGACATGGGAATGGGTACAAAAGTTACCTTTAAATTCAGTCAGCCCTATCAGAAGGAGCTGAAAGTTTTGTGACTATGGTGCTTTTTCTGAGTAAGAGTATAAAATAGTGAATGGAACATTCAATTTAATCCATAGGTAATGTTTCAGTTTAAAGTATGATACAACAAGGAGAAATGGGTCTAGTAGGGAAGGCCAGTATCTAAGATGGTTTTGTTTGGATAGTGAAAAGTCTGAGCTCTGAATACATTTGGTAGGCAGTTAATGTGATAAGTGAGATCAAGGGTTTATGTGGAATGAAGGAACAAAAAAAAAATCTGAGCCAAATGTTCTGTTTCATCTGTACTTACCTTTTTAACACAATGAATATAGCTGACATATTGGCTGTGCTTCTTTTAGAAGAAATCAGGCCTGGAACTGAACAGTATGACCCTGTTATAAGTGGATGCATTAAAATGCAAACTCCGTGGGTGCAGGTAACCTGAAATAACACCAGAAAATTCTGACTAGGTCTGGCAGCATCTGTGGAGGGAGAAATGGAGTTAATAATGCCAGTTAATAATTTTTTATCAGTACTGTGGAGCTTGCATATTCTTGGCAGATGTAACCTATTGTCCATTCTTAAACATTTTACTGCTCCATTTTTACTACTGAAAAGGGCACCACCTTTCATCACTTGGCTATTTCATGCAGTTTAAGTTCTTTTTCTTCCTATCTGAATTTTAGATGGAGAAGGTCTTGTGTGCTGCAGTCTGGCTTTTCATTTGCTCTCTTAATTCACTATTTTCTCCTCCTGCCTGTGTCTGTGTTCAAATACTGTCTTAGTTCAATACCTCCCACAAGAGTAACCTCTTCCAAATCTCTTTCCCTCTGTCTTTGGCCTTGTAATTTATATCTTAGTTATCCAATTATCTGTATTTGCTCCAGAACTTCCACTTGTTCTGAGATATATTTGTATAATGGCTTAGTTAATTTGAGCTGCGCATTTAAATCCTTTGGAGCATATAGACAAACAGAACTCAAAACTGGTTGTTAATGGCTCGGAAAGTAACTAGTGAAAACAGATTTAGTGGACAAACCTAACTGTTTGACTCACCTGCTGTTCCTGTCCATCAATGACTTCTGTCCTTGAATGTGTGTGTAAGCCTTAATGGACTCCAAAGTTGCCATCAGAAGGGAAATTGAGAATGAACAGTAAGTGCAAGCTTACTGGTGACATTCACATCCAGAGAATAAATAATACAAAAGCCCTAAAGGTCTTACTGAGAGTGAAATTGATAAACTTGCTTCACTGGCCTATCAATAGTATAATCGAGAACAGGGCCATGTTTTCCACTTAATATTTGACTGGTGTCGCCTTTTGACTGTTATCTAGTATTTTAGAATATAAGAAACAGGATCAGAAATAGGCTATTCAGCCTTCCAACCTGTTCCACCACTCACTAAGATCATAGCTGTGGCTGCTTCTTCCTCAACTCCATAGTAGTTAGTATCCAGAAATCTACTGTCTTTGTATTAAATATGTTGTATGACTAATTATCCACAGCTATCCAGTGTAGCATTCCAAATGTCCACACCCTTGTTTTGAGAACAAATTTATTGTTATCTCGGCCTTAACTCACTGATCCCTTTATCTTAGACTGTGACCTGTTGTTCCAAACCCCTGCCAGGGGAACTATGCTACTGGTAACTAGTTTGGCAAGTGTTCAAAAAAAATTTATGCATTTTAGTTAGATCACTGCACATTAGTCTTTGCTTTAGTGAATAGCCACCTAGTCTACAGGATCTATCCATATTAGCAATCCTTTCTTTCCACACCCTCCAGTCAAGTATATCCTTGGTGAAAAGATCAAATTTACATAACACTCAAATGATTGCCTAAGACTGTATGTAATTGGAGTAAAAAGTCATTATTCTTGTACCTAATCCCTTTGTAGCAAAACCTAACTGCTATTTGCCCGTCTAATTGCTTGCTGTATCTACATTTTAACTTAATGTTGTTCATGTACAAGCACACTTGGCTCCCTCTTGTGTTCTCCACTCACCATACAAAAATATTCAGGTTTTCCATTTTATCTTTGATGGGTGATTTCACACTTGCGTATATTATATTCCATCTACCATGTTCTTGTCTCCTCACTTTACCTATACATAACACTTTCCAATGCCTCTTTTTTGTGCTTCTCAAAATATACTTTCCCAACTGTTTTTGTATTACTTGGAGACGTTGTACTTTGACCCCTCACCCAAGTTGCTGACATAGATAGTAAATATCTGAGCCCAGCACAGATCCTTGCAGTGCCCCAATAGCTATAACCCACCAACTTTAAAGTTGATCAATTTATTCCTGTTCTGTTTTCTCTCTGTTGACCAATCTTTGATAATATGTTCCCCTGAATCTCTCAAGCCCAAATTTGTGCAATAATTTCTTGTGTGTCACATTATGGCATACATTTTCAAAATCCAAAGACACTCTATCTGTTGATTTCCCTCTTGTATAGCCTGCTAGTTTTATTTTAAAGTCATTTTTTGTCGAACATTATTTTCCTTTTGTAGGAGCCTTTTTCCACATCCCCAATAATAGAGTCTATATTTTCCTGATTACTGCTTCAAAGTTCCTGTTTTCTCCTTTATTTTTCTACTTTCTACTTTCTACTTCTTAGAAATTATTCGAGATTTTAGAATTTTAGGGTCTTAGAATGTTGGCCATGGAGTCCTGGGGATCTGTTGAAAATTAAACTCAAGTTCTCCAGTACTGTCTATTTCATTGTACTAATTTTAAGTTTGTTGTTTGACCTTTGTTTTCCCACTCTTTCTGGAATGTTTTGAACAGCCTTCAACATGTTTTCACAGGCTGTCCATTTTAGAAAAGCTTCTACTCTTCATGCTTTGCATCACACTTAACTACATTGTGCAATTCGGTGCAGCATTGACAAACCGATATAAATAGTGGTCACTTGCTACTGCTACCCACCCTAGAAATACCACCTATCTCATTCACAAGAATGCCTGTCTAGTAAGCGGCAGCCTAGTTGTTAAGCTCATTATTTAACTTTACTTCATTATAGTATGCCACTTGAGTAACTAAATCATCACAAGCTTAAATAGCAATTGTAATTGTTGAAATTACAGGATACACCAAAATTCTTTTTCTAATAGTGCCAGTTTGTACTTGAGTTACAAATTGGAGACTGCAACTCTCAGTATATAATAGGTTGAAGATTATAATCACACAGTTATCCTTTTTTTAAGAAAGTAAGCCAGCTTGCAGATTCCTGACTTGAGTTGCACGTTAATTTTATCCATAATAAGCAATGCAACATAATTTTAATGCCTTATGTAAATTCTGAATTACAAATTGCCTCATTTTGAAGCATTTTACTACAGGTTTCATAATGCATTATTTACACAATTCTTTCTTCATATTAAGCTTTCTCTTTATTTAAGCTCCAGGATCGTACCCAGTTTAGTGAAAGTGATCTGGCCATTCTGAAAAAATATTGGGATGTGGGTATGACCAGCCTGGGTTCAATATGCAGAGAAAAAATAGAAGCGGTTGCCATGGAATCAAATGTCGACTGTGAGATTGTCAAGGTAAGAATGTCATCTTGGTGCATTTACATTTTCCCTACTTCTTCGGGAAGTTTAAGTGATGTGGGTCAAATCATTCTAAGCTTGCTCAAGGCCATATGCAAGTATGTCTTATTCGATTGTTTCTTAAAATAAATAAACTGTACATCGAGGTGCAACATCAGCTGCTGCTTTGTCAGAATGTTCTTAACCTGTGCCAGAAATAGACTAATATTGCCAAGTGTGCTTCCTGAAGGTTCCAAGGTTATTGAATGGTTGGCAGCATCTTATCCGAACTGATACTTTATAGCAGTGCAGAAGAACTGTATTATGCATTGTATTTCTGTTCAGATTCTTGACTCTGCAAAGGACTTGGAGGCTTCCAGCTATTTTTAAAATCGGCCAAAATATATAGGATCTGAAAATGGCATAGTAGTTTTTCACATCCAAGTCTAGCATTTTGAAAGTGATGCCTTTAATATCATTTTAATCATGTCAGAAATCGGCTTTGATCACACTAACTTCAATAAGTTTGCAAGACTGGAAAAAGAAGGATGTAAGAGAGTGCATTCCTTTGACAGTAGACAATGTGACTTGGTTTTTACCATTTTCTTCGACTTCCACCTCACTCATTTGCTGTGACATTGATTCCTTTATGCAACACAAGTCATGAGTTGCTAGTTTATTTGTTCACTCAAGGAATGCAGCTGTTTCTGGCTAGGCAGATTTTTTTTTTTCTTTATTGAATTCAAATGCCACTATCTGCCATGGCAGGATTCAAACTCAGGTCCCCAGAATATGAGCTGGGTTTCTGGATTAATCATCTAGTGATAATACCACTAGGCCATCCCGTCCCCTAGTTATCCTTCACTTACTCATTACTTGCAGCAGGGACATAAATATGACCTTGTATACATGACAAACCTCTGCAAATAGAAAGAAAATTATATTTTCAGCCATCACGCCCCACCTGAGACTCTGGCTGGTAAATTTCTCTCAGCTTAAGCCCCCACCCCTTCAAAACCCACTTAAAATTTGATCACCATATCTGACTTGGATCTGGATGGGTCCACTACCTTCAGTCCACGTGACATCGGAGCTCAAACTATACCCAAGATCCGAGACCTGTTGCTCCACACGACATAGCCTCATGCCTAGATCTTACTTTGGTCTTCACTCAGAATCAGACCCTCACAATAATGTCGTGTGACTGTTGTCATAACCAACATGTAGCAATTAGTAGCACTGCTGGTTGTCTGTCTCAATGGTTACTAGATGAGCTAGATCAAGTGCAAGATGAGTAGGATAATGATAATAGAATAAGATGGGGAATATTATTTTCTAGGAAGGAGAGCAATTTGGAAAGACCTTTGCATTTCAAATATCCGTTGTCACAGGGACTTACAAAATGTTATGCAGTTGCATATAACAGACTTGAGGAAAACTATAGCTCACAGAATTAAAAGGACAGTGGATACATGAATGACAGGAAAATGTAATTAATAGATGTCTTTTGGGCATGTTTCTTAGAAGGTTCCCCAGGGGTTAGTTTTGGGCCCCTTGCTTTTCCTGATGTACGGCATTAATAGATTGGTAACGGGGGACGGTGGCACACTAGGTTCAAAGTAGAGAGATGGGGATTGATCGTTTGGTAGGAAGAATGTGGACTACAATATAACATGAAGGGCGCAATGCTAAAAGGTGTGCAGGAGAAGAGGACCCGCATGCATTCAAGCATAATAGTTGAAGGTGGCAGGACAAGTTGAGAGTGTCATTATTAAAACATACAGTATCCTAGCCTTTAAAAACAGGAACTTGCAATGTAAGGATAAAGAGTTTATATAGAACCTGTATAGGACAGTGTCAACTGGAATGTTGTGCTTAGTTCTGGGCACTACAGAGTGGAAAGAAAATGAAGGTTTTAGAAACAGTGTAGAAATGATTCATGAGGATGGTTAGAAGGATAAGGAACTTTTTAGTCACAACATCCATCTTTGTAACTGTTTGGAGAAAGATGGTCCAAAAGAAGATTTGATAGAATTTACAAAATTGGCTTGATCATAGAAGACGAAGGGTAGTTGTGGAGGGATGTTCTTCCGACTGAAGGTCTGTGACCAGTGGTGTTTTATAAGGCTCAGTGCTGGAAACTCTGTTTATAATATATGCAAATGATTTGAATAAAAATAGAGATGAGTTTGATTAGTAAGTTTGCAGACAAGACAAATTGGTGGAGTTGTGGATAGTGAGGAAGATTGTCAATGGATGCAGCTGGACATAGATCAGTTGAAAAATTGGGCCGAGAAAAAGCAGATGGAGTTTATTCTAGATAAGGCTGAGGCAATACATTTTGGAAGGTCAAATGCAAGAGGAGAATACGCAGAAAATGGCATGACCCATAGGAGCATTGATGTACACAAGGATCTAGGGGTTCAAGTCTGTAGCTCCCTGAAAGTGGCAGACAAGTAGATAAGATGGTAAAGAAGGCATGCCACCATCAATCAGGGCATTGAGTATAAGAATTGGCAAGTCATGCTGCAGCTGTATAAGACTTTAGTTAGGCCATGTTTGGAGTATTATGTCCAGTTCTGGTCGCCACATTACAGGAAGGATGTGGACCTTGGAGAAGGTGCAAAACAGATTTACCAGTGTGTTGCTTGGATTGGAGTGTATTATCTATAAGGAGAGGTTGGAAAAACTTGCATTGCTTTCACGAGAGAAATGAAGGCTGAGGGGTGACCCAATAGAAGTATGTAAAATTGAGAAGCATGGATAGAGTGGATAGCTGAGTCTTTTTCCCAGGGTGGAAATGTCAGTACTAGGGAACATAGGTTTAAGGTGAAAGGGGTGAAGTTGAAAGGAGGTGTGAGGAAAATTTTTTGAACAGAGGGCGATATGTGCCTGGAGCGTGCTGCCAGGAGAGATGGTGGAAGCAAATTCAATAGCAATGTTTATGAGACATTTTGACAGACTCTTGGAAAGGTAGGAAATGGAGGGATATGGATGCTGCACAGACAGATGTGATTAGCTTAGAATGGCATTATTCAGCACAGACATGGTGGGCTGAAGACCCTGCTCCTGTGCTGTAATAGTCTGTTCTAAATGTATTCAAAGTAATGAAGCACCTAGATAGAGTAGATAGGGAGAAACCTTCCCCACTCCTGAAAGGATCAAGAACAACCAGCACAAATTTTAAGTTATTGTAAGAGAAGCAAAAGTAACGTGAGTAAAAACTTATCAATTTTGGTAACAAGCACGCACTCGTGCGCACACATGCAGTCTTGCATGCACGTACTCAAATGTGCACTCTCCTACTCCTGTTTCTTGATGGCATGGGTTTACTCTAAGCAAAGCTGTGTACTTTCTGCTGTTTGCACCTACCATTAACATTTATTTAGCTTCGATATCTAACATATACTACAGTTATCACTTTTGTTCTTTTGCTCTGGACTCCCTCACAATCTGTTCGACTTGCTCCCCCTCCACCTTTATCAACAGGGTAAAATCCAACATTTTCTAGCATCTTCTGTTTTGAAGAAGATTCTTGAAATGTTAATTCTGTTTCTCGCTTCACAGATGCTGCCAGACCTGCTGAGTTTCTGCACTTTCACTTCTTATTTCACATCTCCAGCACCTGGAATATTTTGCTTTCACAGCAGAAAAAACTATTCGTGCAGCCAGTGATTAAGGTCTGTAATGCTTTGAGAGTATGGTGGAAGTTGTTCCGTTGAAGCATTCAAAAGGGAATTGTGTAACAATGGAACAATGTCTAGGTTTCAAGGGAGGAGATGAGAGATTTGCTCTAAGCAGATTGTTGCTTGGGAGAACTATGTAGACATGAAGAGCCAAATGGCTCCTGCACTGTAACAAGTCTGTGATTTGGTGATCAGGGCTTGAAATAGTCAGATTTGCTTGGTGCAAATCTTAATTTTCCCAGATTTCGATAGCTTTGTGACGTAATTCTTTTTATTCAAACTCTGCCAAGGTTGCCCACAGTAAATGATAGCCTGTTGTCTTGAAATGCTGCAGTCTGAGTAGTGAATGTACTCCTGTTGTGTTTGTAGCATTTGATTAAAAGTGGTCGTTTGTTAGACCATTTGAACGGGCAGTTGAGAGTTTGACCCCGCTGGGACTGGAGTCATGTATGGACACCATTTGGTGAAGCTGGATCTGTCCTTCATTATGGGTTATTAGTGAAACTATTTTGCAGTAACTGTTGAACAAATTCACAACCACTTTCAAAGAAATCTAAAATCTCATACTACCACAGTAGGATTTGAAACAAATTGTTAGACCAGGCAATTGAATTTTTCATTCAGTAATATTTCTACTGGGGTACTACACCAGTTTGTTCGTGGACCTGCTGAAGTTTACAGTATCCAATTTTACCATTTTTGGATTGTGTTTCAACTGAAGTGATAAGAAAATATAGATGGTTTTGATTTTTTGAAAACAAAATTTAGTCTAAGTTTTGAATTAATATGCTAAATAAAATTTAGCAGAGATCAGCAATAAGTAATTAATTGTTTTGTCTGGCAGTTGAAGAATTCCTCAAATCCATTGTGATGGGAAACTTTGATCTCTCTATATCTGTGAAGAGGGAGATTAGAGGCAGAGGCCCAGAGAAAAACCGGCATTGAAATCAGAAGGCTGTAATGAAACCAGTTTTGTTGAAAGGATATTTGTAAGGGACTTCACTAAGGAAATGCTGGAAGATGTTTAAAGGACATCATTTAAGTTTACCCACAGATTCGAGGAAATATGACTTTTTTGTTGTAAATATATATTGTACTGATTGCACCAAGCAAAACTGATCATAATTGTTCTGCGTTCACATCCTGTGAAATAGCTCAATTTCATCTCAAGCTTCAGATCAACCAGGTTTCGCTTGGCTAGCGTTTGCACAGTGTGCAGGGCCATTCATGTGAAGTTTTAAATATCCATTATTGATAATTCAGTGGATTCTAGTTTTAGGTCCTTTGATTATGCTTTTAAACAAGTCATTTCAGGGAGGTGTGTCAAATCCCACTCAGCCACCTATGGAAACAGTTTATGATGTTGAACCTGCAAAAGTATCTTTGGGAGCTCCAAATGTATTGCATGAGGAGTTGTTTAACTGGTTTTATTAATGTTCTACAACGAGTAAAGGTAGCAAGCGGCGTGTAAAAATTAAAGACTGAATGCGATAAACACAACGATAACATTGCAGACCTCCTTGGGAAATGGGAAATCGCATTTTGAAGGATGTCGTAACAAGATTGGGTTATTTGTGCTGCTAGATAAGTTATTGGCATTGAGGCACTTTGATGTGGTGCTTGATTTTCCATTTCTCAGGAGTTTTCTGTTTTATTAGAATCACGTGCTCCCAGTGAAGAATTATGGCTACGTCTACTCCAACTTCACAGTTTCTCTTGGGTTTTAATCACCAGGGTGCAAGGAAATGGATCTAATCCAGCTCGCATATCTATAAAACGCTATTGAAACAGCTATGCCCATGAGACTCCAATGACTCGAAGTAGCCATGTGTTTATCTATAGGGCAGTAAACTTGTATTAAAACAACACCAAATTAAACAGATCTCTTTTGTACTTTTATTGATGTTTGTGCATAACATGAGAGCAACTTCAGTGTGTAGCTGCCTTGCACCCGAAAATATGATATTAAGAATTTTTCCCAATGTTGACAATGCAGCTCAGCAGCAGCCTTTTAAGCAGTCCAATGTGTGTTATGTTTCAGCTGGTGTCCTGTTAATGCCAGTTCAAATGGTAATGTAAAGAGTATCTTTTTTTTGAGTTTGCAAAGTAGACAGGTCTCCTCAATCTGCACTTGTAGTTAATAAATCCACTGCAGAATTTATGTATTTTAAAATGCTACTTGAACATCAACTGGATTGCTGAGCAACTTGAAAATGAGTGGGTATGATAGGCAACAGTTCTGAACTTTTGCATGTCACTCCTTCGGCAAGGCTATTTGGCGAGCGCATGAGAGGATTTTGTTTAAAGTTGAATAACCCTCAGTTTCACCCAAGTCCAAGTTGTTGCTTTTTCCTTGACAGTTTACTAATTCAGTCATTGCCATGAGTTTCACTGCTGATCTGAGAGCGCACACCTTATTTGGGGTGTATTTGCCCATCTCATTTCAGACAGTTTTAAGAAATTGCAGTGCATATTTAGAATTTTTTCCCGTCAAATAGATATGCACTGGCATTTTGTCTGGAAATTAATCATTGATGATTTGGAATTGGGGACTAAGTGTGGTGTGTCAAAATTTGCAGATGACACTAAGGTGAGTGGTAGAGCAAAGTGTGTAGAAGACACTGAAAGTCTACAGAGGGATATAGATAGTCTAAGTGAGTGGGCAAAGGTCTGGCAGATGGAGTACAATGTTGATAAGTGTGAGGTCATCCATTTTGGTAGGAATAACAGCAAAATGGACTATGTTTTAAATGGTAAAAAATTGCAGCACGCTGCTGTGCAGAGGGACTTGGGTGTCCTTGTGCATGAATCACTGAAAGTAGGATTGCAGGTGCAGCAGGTAATTAAAAAGGCAAATGGAATTTTGTCTGCCATTGCTAGAGGGATGGAGTTTAAAAACAGGGAGGCAATGCTGCAGCTGTATAGAGTCCTGGTGAGGCCACACCTGGAGTACTGTGTGCAGTTTTGGTCTCCTTAGTTGAGAAGAGATATACTAGCACTGGAGGGGGTGCAGAGGAGATTCACTTGGTTGATTCCAGAGTTGAGAGGGTTGGATTATGAGGAGAGACTGAGTAGGCTGGGATTATACTCATTGGAATTCAGAAGAATGAAGGGAGATCTTATAGAAACGTATAAGATTATGAAGGGAATAGATAAGGTGGAGGTAGGGAGGTTGTTTCCGCTAGCAGATGAAACTAGGACTAGAGGGCATCGCCTCAAAATAAGGGGAAGCAGATGTAGGACTGAGGTCAGGAGGAACTTCTTCACCCAAAGGGTTGTGAATCTGTGGAATTCCCTGTCCAGTGAAGCGGTTGAAGCTACCTCGCTGAATGTTTGTAAGGCAAGGCTAGATAAATTTTTGAACAGTAGAGGAATTAAGGGTTATGGTGTGTGGGCGGGTAAGTGGAGCTGAGTCTCAAAAAGATCAGCCATTATTAAATGGCAGGGCAGGCTCGAGGGGCCAGATGGCCTATTCCTGCTCCTAGTTCTTATGTTCTTATGTTCTTAAGTGCTCAAATGCCGTACAAATTCAACTTGTTCATTGATGTTCTTTAACAAAGAGGATATGCTGTGCAGGTCTGCTCTGGCCTGTTCCCTTGCTTTTACTACAATATGTAGTCGACTTCCATTGTCTTCTGGGCAAAGAAATATTAACATCGTATGATAGCTTATTATTCCTGTCCACATCCCTGTGCTAAATAAATTTAAGAATTTCAAAGAAACTGAAAGATTTGAATATTTCATTGTAGTGTGCCATCCTGTCAATTTCTCTCTCCATCTATCCCTGCCTTGTCAGGTTGGTCACTTTGCCTGTCTTTTATTTGAGCATTTCAGCTGTTTAGATGCTTTTCCTTGCTCTTATTTCAGTACTGTTTTATTTCACCCCTACCCCTTGTTCTTGTGAAAAGACATGGATAGGAAATCGGAGAAGGAAATACCGCCAGTTGGGAATTGAGCTACCTCCTGCTCGTGGTGGACCAGCAGATTTTTCCAAGTTGCCTGAATCGAGTTCACCCTCACTGCCTGCAGTCAAAGCTGAAACCTCAAAGCTTCCTGAAAATTCAGAGGACAATGAGAAGAACAAAGAAGATGTTAGTTTCTCTGAAGGTACAATCTATTTAAGAGCTTTTCTGAGTGATATAGAGTTCTACATTGGATAACTCAGATATGTAAGCAAACATTTTGTTAACGTAAAATTGTGTTCAGAAAATGGCAGTAGGTACCTTTTGTGTATATAGGGAACATAATTTATCCTAAGCTACTATACTTTACATTGATATCCTTGTGCACGTTTGCCAATACTAATAATTCTGAACTCTTGGGTTATATTTGCATTTTTATTTGATTCTTGTTCATTTTAAAGAACATAAGAACTAGGAGCAGGAGTAGGCCATCCGGCCCTTCGAGGCTGCTCCGCCATTCAATAAGATCATGGCTGATCTTTTCGTGGACTCAGATCCACTTACCCGCGTTCTCACCGTATCCCTTAATTCCTTTCTTGTTCAAAAAAATATCTACCTTATCTTTAAAAACATTTACTGAAGTAGCATCAACTACTTCACTGGGCAAGGAATTCCATAGATTAACAACCCTCTGGGTGAAGAAGTTCCTTCTCAATTCAGTCCTAAATCTGCTCCCTCTAATCTTGAGGCTACGCCCTCTTGTCCTAGCTTCACCTGCCAGTGGAAACATCCTCTCTACTTCTATCTTATCTATTCCCTTCATAATTTTATATGTTTCTATAAGATCCCCCCTCAATCTTCTGAATTCCAATGAATATAATCCCAATCTACTCAGTCTCTCCTCATAAACCAACCCCCTCAACTCCGGAATCAACCTAGTGAACCTCCTTTGCACCCCCTCCAGTGCCAGTACATCCTTTCTCAAGTAAGGAGACCAAAACTGCACACAGTACTCCAGGTGCGGCCTCACCAGCGCCTTGTACAGCTGCAACAGAACCTCTCTGCTTTTAATCTCAATCCCTTTAGCAATGAAGGACAAAATTCCATTTGCCTTCCTAATTACTTGTTGTACCTGCAGACCTACCTTCTGTGATTCATACTTTTTTAAAGCAGTAGGAATTGATATCTAACCTAGCTTTTCTTGTTATTTTCTATAGTTCTTAAGTTGTAAACCGTAATTCATACATGGTCTTCATAGGTGCTCCAAGTGAATTGGAGCAACGGGAGGAGGAGGAAGATGAAGAAGCGGAAGAGGAGGAAGATGCAGCAGAAGAGAATGGGGATGGAGAAAGTGTTAGTGATGGATCATGCAGTATTCCAACATTAGAAAAAGTGGTAATGTTTTTAAATTTTGGAATATGATACTAGAACTGGAAGTGGGAATTTGCAGTGAAACTCTCCATTCAGTCATTCCTTCGCTCAAACCTCCAATCAGATACAGAGAGAGCAAACACTTCTTCAGCATATTGGATACATCGAAGAAATGAAGCAACCAAGATAGCTTTTGCTCAAATAATTAGTAATTTACTTATAAGTTTGGTTTACAAATAACTGCCTACATAATAGTTGAGCAGGTGTACAGATAATGTACTTTCATTACAGTAAACCTGGTGAAATTTGGAAATCTGTTTCCTTGAAACTTGCTACAAATCTAAATTTCTGGATACTTGTCTTCTTAGACTTGGACAATGGCCCTAATAGGACTGGAAGCTAGTGACAGACTTTGTCACTGCCCCCAGTCTATCACATTTTCTTTTGCTGCATCTCCAGTAATGTACTGCTTTTGAAGGTCCTCCTTGCATGTATTTTGCCAGGTGTTCTGGTTGACCTTGTGTCCTCTTCAATCTTGTGGTGTCCACTCTATTGCTGCTTCGGTGATGTGTAGACTCAGAAGGCCAAGAACATGTCCACATAGCATCACTTTTCTTGTTGAAACAGTGTCCCGCAGGCAATCTTCTGCAGCACTTCTTTGATGATGCTGTCTCTCCATGTGTTGCCCAGGATCTCCTGTTAAGTGACATTGGTAAAGAATGATCGACTTGTGTGATGGTGTTTGCTATTTTCTTCCATATCTTGCCAATCTTCTTCATCTTCCTCCTCCTTGCTGTTTTTACTACTAAGAGCATGTAGAGTCACGGCTTCATGGCTTATCAGTGATGCTGGATGCCCAGACTCTGTGACATTGCTGGAAACCAAATGCTAAAATTTCTACATCACCCTGTCTGGAGATGTTGTTCTGCAGGTAAGGGACATAGTATATCTCTTCTATGTTCTGGTGCCCAATGGTAACGAGTATTGGCATTGTAATTGTTCAATTATCATTATTATTGTCGTCTTGCAGCTGAAGTGCTGATGCTGACCAGCTTTAGCACTATCAATTTCAAGGCGAGAAGTAGTGTCCGAAACATGTTGGCTGAAGAGTCACACGAGACTGTGGTCTGCAAACCTTGCTGACCAATTGATTGATTGGTACAGCAGCTGTTAATTAAACCAGTGCGACAATGCAGGGTAACTGACCTGCATACATGTGTATGTAGATCTGCAAAAGGCATGTTTCTAGACAGGCCAATTAGAAGAAGGCTAGAGGGAGAAATCAGGGTCTGCTGAGTGGAGATCACTCCTTCTGTGCCAGGGAAAGGAAAGTAATCCAGACCAAGCTGAATTAGATCAGTTTGACAGTCCATTTTGCAGCTAGAATTCCAGCAAAGGACTGGATACAAAAGACATAGGGTTAATGAAAATGAAAAACATGCTGCAAGTATATCATCTATTTTTATGCTAGTTTAACTCCTTTGGAATCCTAAGAAAAGCTCAGAAATATTAATAACGCTTGCTTATTTTGGAACAGTGTGAAAAATCTGCACTTCTAACACTTGTTTAACTTTACTAATAAATATTGATATGTGAGTCAGTAAGGGAATGTTCATTCAGGTGCATCCACTAGTGAAGAAGTGTCTGATATTAAAATGACAACAGAGCAATTTCATTTGTTGCGTTCGACCATAACCTTCCAGAAACACTCTTCCTGTATTTAATCTTACTGAAGGAAAAAGTGTAACCCCAAACACCTTTATTTATAAATTAATACAGAGTGGATGTTTTAATGAACTCTTACTTGAGGCAGAGGAAGACATGTGCATTGGTTTACATGAAGTTTATTTACAATCTTGAGGCTGAAAATAGGGCTGTTCTTCTATGTTGCTCACTTGTTTATGCTACTTCGTCACATGGGGTTGACCTCTGCTATGTTAGCCAGTCCTTAGCCAAAAGTGGATAAAGCAACTTTTCTGACACTTCACAGACTGAGCAGAAGCTGCTCCTGATCACCATCCAAGTGATTATTGGCAACAATGAACAGTCATAACACGATTGAGGCAGGCTGTGATCAATTGATTTGCAGAATCTTGCAGGAAAACCAAATGATCAAGGCTTTGGAATTGCCAGCGTCTGTGAAACGGTACCTATTCAAAGCACTTCGCGTTGTTTTTGTGCTGAAATCAATATATGTGGGAGAGCTGTGCAATGACGTTGCTGTGCAGTGCCTTTGCAATGTGAATTCCCACACATGAATTCATGAACTGCTGCCCCTTAAAACAAAACAATGCAACTTAGAAATACTTACTTTCTCCTTTAAGCACATTTTTAAATAATATGGATGATTGCTGGTGATACATCTATCTCACTTGAGTTACTTCCTGAAGGTGTTTGCTCAAACATACTAGATCTTACACTGTTAAGTGAGTTTCGTGCAGTTTGTCATAAAGATAGTATTACTTTGTGATTAGCAAGAAACGATGTAAAACATCAGATTGTTACATTTGCTGGAAACACTTCAATTGAAGGACATTTGTTGCAGCTAGCAAAATTCAAAGGTATAACTTGGAGTCAAATACTGTCATCTAGTGTTCGGTAATGGTGTAGAATTTGTGAAGAGCATTCAATTTGGCTAATATAGTTCATGGCTCATAGAATCCCTACAGTGTGGAAACAGGCCATTCAGCCCACCCTGACCCTCAGAGCATCCCACCCAGACCCATCCCCTGATAACTGAACTAATCCACACGTGCCTGAACACTATGGGCAATTTAGCATGGCCAATCCACCTAACCTGCACATCTTTGGACTCTGGGAGGAAACCGGAGCACATGGAGGAAACCCACACAGACACGGGAAGAATGTGCAAACTCCACACAGACAGTCGCCTGAGGGTGGAATTGAACCTGAGACCCTGGCGCTGTGAGGCAGCAGTGTTAAACACTGAGCCACGATGCCACCCGATATATTATTGCCAGTGAGATAACAAGGTGTAGAGCTGGATGAACACAGCAGGCCAAGCAGCATCAGAGGAGCAGGAAAGCTGAAGTTTTGGGCCTAGACCCTTCTTCAGAAATGGGGGAGGGGATGGGGGTTCTGAAATAAATAGGGAGAGAGGGGGAGGCGGATAGAAGAT